ACCAATTTATTATTGGTTTTGGTTTTTTGGAGGGATTATTATTAGCCTCTGTGTGGAGTAAGGAAACTTGCCCGAGGTTTCGCCCTCTGCCTGGAATTGAACTCAGGTCTCTCACTTGCAAAGCGAGTGCTCTAACCACTGAGCTACAGGACTCCACGATCAAAGGTGGGGCCAGAAAGGGTGTGAAATGAATGTGGTTTCTTGTACCTGTGGACCTTTGGTGGTGTGTTTTGTAGTACGACTCGGCAGGCAGGCTTATTCAGGTAGCTGATGTGCCAATGGGATTGCTAGATTGATGCAGTAATCGGGCTCTTATCGCCATATCAATCTGTCCGCTCCCTCCAGCCTGCATCACGTCTCCTGCCCAGCCCGCTCCACCATCAGCAGTCGGGTCTTCACCCTCTTCCCCCCACCCTCTGGAACTCTATTCCTCAGTCCCTTCTCCTCGCTCCCTCCCTTGCCTCCGTCAAAGCATGTCTCAAGACCCTCCTCTTCAACCGTGCCTTCAGCTACCCTTCTACCCCTATCCTCCCTGCCCTCCACCCCTCCTGATCCCAACCTCCAGTTCAGGTCCAAATCCTTGACTGTCCAGCACCTTGGGACAACCTCCCGATGTGAAAGGCTCTGCGTAAATGTAATTTGTTGTTGTTGTTGACATTACACGTGAAGTGGTTGATGAGGAGGTGCAATGAGAGCCTTATCCTGCAGGCATGTGCTTCATTTGTACTTTGTGTTAGAGGTTCTCCTAAACACACGCAGACAAGTTGCCAAGAACAAGACCTTTATCTGCACCTGCTTTTCTCTGAATGCAAGGATGTCTGATCATTCAGGAAGGCAGCAAGTAGAGGGGAACTCTCCAGTACCACAGGAACAGACAAACAGGCCATTCAGCACCTCAAGCCTGTTCCACCATTCTATGAGATCTTGGCTGATCTGTACCTCAGCTCCAATTTACCATTAAGGCACCGCTTCCCAATAAGGACGTCCCAAGATGGAAAGTGTGACACTTTGGTTCAACTGATCACACTTTCAAGCCTGGGTCAGAGAACTATGGCTTCAAGAGAAAAGTCAGGATATTAAGCTCACAGTCTAGGTTGTCATTCTAGTGTAGTCCTGGGGGAAGTGTTGTATTATTGGAGGTGTCAACCTTTGCATAGTCTTGACTGTTCTTGTGAAGCACTTTGAGAAGTTTTGACTTTACAACAGCAACAACAACAACTTGGCTTTATATAGCGCCCTCCACACTGGACAGCGTCTCTTTACAGTAACAGATCCCAGGGCCGAGCCAGCGGGAGGGGGAGGAGCCAGGGGGAGGGGCAGGAGCCAGGGGAGGGGCAGGACCCAAGGGGAGGGGCCAGGGGGAGGGGCAGGGGTGGGCAGGAGCCAGGGGGAGGGGCCAGGGGGAGGTGGGGGAAGGTGACCAAAGGTGCGGTCGAAAAGAAAGGTCTTCAGCAGAGACCTGAAAATGGGAAGGGAGGGAACGAGACGAAGGGAGTGAGGAAGGGAGTTCCAGAGCCTCGGGGCATAGTGGCTGATGACACAGCCGCCGAGGGTGGATTGGAGGACTCGGGGGATGAGGAGGAGGCCAGACCCGGAGAAACGAAACAACAAGATACAACAACAAGATTTCATTTATAGAGCGCCTTTCACGTCTGGAGGACGTCCCAAGGCGCTGGACAGTTGGGTCAGGATCCGAGCAAGGGGGAAATGGTCAGGGTGAGGGAAGGGAGGGAGCGAGGAGGGGGGAAATGGTCAGGGTGAGGGGAGGGAAGGGAGGGAGCGAGGAGGGGGTAGAGAGTCGAGAGGGGAGCTGAAGGCTGAAGGTCAAAGAGAAGGTTCTTGAGACCGGCCTTGAAGGAGGAAAGGGAGGAAGCGGCGAAGGCACTGGGGGATAGAGTTCCAGAGCCTCGGGGCTGAGAGGCTGAAGGCCCGACCACCGATGGTAGGGCGGTTGGGGCGGGGGATGTGGAGCAGACCGGAGCCAGAGGAACGGAGGGTACGGGCAGGTAGGTAGGGGGATAGTAGGTCAGAGAGGTAGGAGGGAGCGAGGCCGTGAATGGCCTTGTAGGTGAGGATGAGGATCTTGAATTCGATCCTCTGGGGGATGGGGAGTCGGTGGAGGTGAGCGAGGGTGAGGGCGAGGGTGAGGGTGGGAGTGATGTGGTCCCGAAGCCTGGTGCGGGACAGTACACGAGCTGCAGAGTTCTGAATGACCTGCAGTGTGGAGGGAGGGCCGGGAAGGCCGGCGAGGAGAGAGTTCCATAGTCCAGCCTTGAGGTGATAAAGGCGTGGACCAGAGTTTCAGCCGCGTGAGAGGTGAGGTAGTGCCGTAGTTTGGCGATGTTCCGGAGGTGATGGAAGGCGGTGCCAGTTGTGGCGCAGATATTAGGAAGGGGTACTATTTTGAGGATAATAATAATAATCCTTAATAATAATCCTTGCATTTGATATAGCGCTTTTCACATCTTCAAGACTTCCCAAAGCGCTTCACAGAATATACTGTAAAGTGAATTGACTGTATACTTGTGGGCGAACGCGGCAGCCAATTGGGCACAGCAGCGTCCCACAAAGTCATGGATTAAAAATGACCAATTTATTATTGTTTTGTTTTTTTGGAGGGATTATTATTAGGTCAGAGAGGTCGGGGGGTGCAGAGGAGTGCAGGGACGTGAAGACAAGGGTGAGGATCTTGAAGTCGATCCTCTCTGGGACAGGCAGCCGGTGCAGTCTGGCCAGGACTGGGGGGATCGGGGAGCGGAGTTGGTGCGGGTGAGAATGCGAGCGGCAGAGTTTTGAATGATTTGGATTTTATGGATGGTGGTGGAGGGGAGGCCGGCGAGGAGGGCGTTAGAGTAGTCCAGCCGAGAGGTGACAAAGGCCTGGACCAGGGTTTCAGCGGCTTTTGGGGAGAGGTATTGGCGGAGACAGGCGATGCGTCGGAGGTGGTAGAAGGCGGTGCTGGTGAGGGACCGGATGTGGGGGAGGAAGGATAATTGGAGGTCAAACCTGACGCCGAGGTCGCGTATGGGTTTGGAGAGTTTTAGGGGGAGGTCGGGTAGGTGGAGGAGGTGAGAGCCGTGAGATTTTAGACGTTGACGAGAGCCAAAGAGTACGGCTTCCGTCCTGTCAACGTTTAGCTGAAGGAAGTTTGCACTTATCCAGCTCCTGAGGTCTGACAGGCAGCTGACAGAACATCGGGGGACTGGGGGTCACAAAGAGAGGTGGAAAAGTAGAGTCTGCATACATGTGGAAATGTACCCATGTCAAGAGGGAGCATATAGATCAGAAAGAGGAGGGGCCAAGGATGGATCCTTGGGGTACCCCACAGGTAACCGGGTGAGAGCGGGAGGAGAAGCCGTTTGTGCAGATGTACTGCTGGCGGTTTGTGAGGTAGGACTCGAACCGGGCGACTGCGGTCCCACTGAGGTGGATGAGTAGTAGAGGAGGCAGTAGAGGAGGATAGAATGATCGACTGTGTCGAACGCAGTGGAGAGGTCCAGGAGGACAAGGAGGCAGAGGGAGCCCTGGTCACAGATAGAGAGGATGTTGTTTGTGACTTTCACAATCGCAGTCTCTGTACTGTGGGCGGAAACCGGACTGGAGGGGTTCAAAGAGGGAGTGGGAGGAGAGGTGTGCGCGGAGTTGGTTGGCAACAACGCGTTCTAGAGCTTTTGAGAGGAAGGGCAGGTTAGAAATAGGGCGGTAATGGCTGGGGTTTGAGGGATCTCGGGAGGGTTTTTTCAGGAGGGGGGTGATGACAGCAGTTTTGAGGGAGGCAGGGACTGATCCGGAGAAGAGGGATTAGTTGATGATGTCAGCCAGTAGTGGGCAGAGGAGGGGGAGCTGGGTGACCAGTTGGTGGGGAGGGGGTCGAGGCAGCAGGTGGTGGGTTTCATGGAGGTGATGGTGGGTGAGAGGGAGGAGGGAGAGATGGGAAGGAAGGAATGTAGAATGGGGGTGGTGGTAGGAGCTGATGATGGGGAGGATGAGGGGGGCAGAGAGGGTGTGGTGGTGGGTGACAAGGGGCAGGTGGATGAGGCTGCCTGGCGGATGTTAAGTATTTTAGAAGTCCATGACCTCCTCGCACTTGGCATTTGATACGAAGATTGAGGAGGCCTGAGTGGGGGCACGGAGAAGTTAGTGGGTGGTGGAAAAAAGGATTTTTGGGTTGTGTTTAGCCTCCAAGATGATGTTGGAGTAGAAGCCGTTTTTGCACGAGTCAAAGAACAGCGGTAACCTTCAAATGTTCGAGCCACAGTTGGTGGTGGACTGTCAGGCCAGTTTTCCGCCATCTGCGCTTGAGCAGCCAGCTTTGGGTTTTTAGGCAGCGGAGATGGTTATTGTACCAGGGTGATCGGGTGGGTTTGGAGATTGTCCTAGACTTCAGGGGCACGAGGGAGTTGAAGGGGGAGGAGAGGCGATCATGGAGCAGCTGGACGGCTGCTTCAGGATCTCTGCGGGTGGAGGGCCAGAGGGATAGGATATTTGATGATGAGAGGGCCTTTGTGAAGGTCTCAGGGGGTAGCCTTTTTCAAGGGCGGTAGAGGATGGTTGAAGACTTAGTGGAGGAGGGATGTGAGAGAAGGAGATGAAAAAGTGATCCGAGATGGCCTTGTCCACTATGCTGAGGTCGGAAATGGTCGGCAACTTTACAGCAACTTCATGAAATGCCAGTATCTTGTAATCTGTGGAGACCGGTGGTTTAGTGGTTAGAGCACTCGCCTCGCAAGCGAGAAGACATGGATTTGATTCCTGGGCAGGCCGAAATGTTGGGCGAGTTTTGTTACTCCACACGCCTCTGTTTACCTAGCAATAAATAAGAACCCGATTGTTAATCAATGGCAGATCACTTTTCCAGGGGTAATATTCCCTTAAAAAAAGAATATACACACGACGACAATGGGATACTTCAATCAGTGTCCATCGCACTACCAGACAGCGGACTTCCACAGTAACCTGTTTTTGTCTCTCCTTGAATTTAACAGATTCGAGATGCACTGTACGGATAATTCAACCATGTTTTATTGTTCCTTAACCCTATGCCTCACTTACACTGCCCGGAACATGATAACTGTCGCAATGTTAAGAAATAGAAATACCATGACACTAAACTATGACACTAGCAGCTTTATTCAAAGTTAGTTAACAAAAAAAAACAATCTTGACCTGGAGGCGAGGCTCTCAGGTCAGTACAAACCTCCTTGATGACATTAAAGGCGAAGAATGACCCTGAGTTCAATTAAGCCCCTCCTTTTATATTGTTCTAACTCCTTCCCTTTCCAATGTATCACGTTGATACTTTTCCTTCCAATTTCAATCTCCTCCCATTCCAACGCACCAGTCGGTTCCCGCTCCAGGACCCACATAACCTTTCCTGCCTTTTCTGTTGCAACACTCACCCAGGTCACGGACTTCGTGTTGTCAAGGCTGTACCGCTTTAAAATTATATTCTGGTCCCTAGATCATAAATGCGCTTAAAGCAAAAGCTCTTATTTTACACAAACTCTATGTACACAGATCATCTACAGCAAATATCATTAGAAAGAGGTAGAGCATTAATTAAAACAAAGTGACCGTGACAGCATAATAAGGCGCTACATCAAATGCAAGTATTATTATTATGAAGCGATGGCTCGGGGAACTCTCTGTTTGCTTCCATTCACTGCCTAGTACTGAGCGAGCAAAGTGTTGGTGATGATCAGACAGACAAATTGGCAATAAACTTGGTAAAAATGCTTCAAAACAGAGTATCCGTTAAAGTGCTGAATGGTGAATGACAGCTGTGATGCGTCCAGGACTCACACACTGTGGAGGCAATCAGGAGGCAGAGAGTTAAAGGATTTCCAGCAGAGCCAGTAATTGTATAAAAGATGGCCGTTTGTGGGGCTGCTCGACCCAGCAAGCCAGCATGATGCCATAGAGCTCCTCACTGCACCCGCTCGGACACTTCATCCGCTGCCCACTCTGCACAAACGCCACAGTTTGTTTGAAAGACATTCCTGAAACGCATCAGACCAGACACACATATGGTTAAATATATAGGAACATAGGAACAGGAGGAGGCCATTCAGCCCCTCAAGCCTGATCTGTCAATCCATAAGATCATGGTTGATCTGCATCTCCACTCCAATTACTCGCCTTTGCCCCGTATCCCTTAATATTCTGACCTAACAAACATCTCTTTCCCTCCAGCATCCACATTCTTTATGGGGGAGAGTTCCAGATTTCCACTTCCCTTTCGGTGAAAAACTGCCCCTGATTTCACTCCTAACTGGCCTGGCTCTGATTTTAAGACAAAGTCCCATGTTCTGCATTCCTTCACCAGAAGAAATAGTTTATCTGTAGCTACCCTATTGAATCCGTTTATTATATTAAAAACCTCAATTGAATTAGATTATTATTATTATTTTAAAAACCTGAATTAGATCAACTCTTAACCTTCTAAACTCAGGAATCGCATCAAAATCAATTTGCTATGATCACAAATTAGACACCAGCTTTGCCATTTCTCTCAAAGACACTTTGTGGTCAACAGGCACAGGTCAGACTGACGGGACACACACACCACACACACCCACACCACACACACAACATTCACACCACACACAAGACATCACACACATCATATACACACCACCACACGTAACACACATACACATACCATACACACCACACACACGCCACACATACACACACATCACACATACCATACACACCACACACACCATATACACACAGAGCTCGACCAGCGAATGGAGCTCAAGGCTGGCAAAGCCCCCTTTGGTCTCTGGCTGAGCAGCTCCACCGTTCATGCCCTCAGACCCCAGGGAAGGTTTTCCCACCTGGGTACGGGCTGTGCCCGCCCATGACCAGCTCCATGAGGAGGACTCCGAATGCCCAGATGTCAGACTGCGTTGTGTGGTATCCCTTCAGGAAGACCTCAGGAGCTGCCCATTTCACTGCAATTTTCGCGTCTAGAAATACACAAAAATGTGAATGATTTCCTGAGGACTTGGCAGGTCATGTTGAGAATATTAATAATAACAATAGTCCTTGTATTTGATATAACACCTTATCACATCTTCAAGATGTCTCAAGGCGCTTCACAGGATACACTGTAAAGCGTGGTGACTACTTATTTTGTGGGCGAAACAAGAATCCAAGTCGAATGACAATAATCCCTTAAAAAATAATAATTTGGTCACTCAATCCACAATTGTTTGTGGGACACCGCTGTGCGCAATTGGCTGCCACGTTTCGCCCACAAAGTGGTTTGCGACGTTTCAATGATGTGATAAGGTCCTATACCAAATGCAAGGATTATTATTGTTATACTATAGTTAATGAGCATGCTGTACCGTTTTCCAGAATATATTTGTTGCTCTCGAGTTTGCGTGCGAGACTCAGGCCCCCAATCTTGCACTCCAGTGTTTCAGACAGAAAGACATTGGCAGATCTCAAATCCCGATGGATGTAAGAATTCTCCTCCATGTAAACCATTCCCTGGGCAATCTGAAACAGGAGCAGAGGTGTTGTCACTCCTCTACACCCAAGTTCATAATCCACTGCTGCCTCCAGCCTCCTCAACCCTCACGGTCACACAGTCACAGCCTTGCTCCTTCCTACCTCTGTGACCTGCTAAAGTCATATTGACCCACCCGCTCAGCAGGCTCTGGCCTATGCCACGTCCCCTGCCCGGCCCACCCCACCATTGGCGATCGGGCCCTCAGCTTCTCTGCTCCCACCCTGTGGAACTCCATCCCACAATCCCTTCACCTCACTCCCTCTCTTGCCTGCTTCAAGGCACATCTCAAGACCCTACTCTTCGACTGCACCTTTGGTCACCCTCCTACGCCTACTCTCCCTGCCCTCCCCCTGTTCTGACCTCAACCCCCAGCTCGGGTCCAAATCCCTGACTATCCAGCGCCTTGGGACATCCTCCCGACATGAAAAGTGTTGTGTAAATGCAATTTGTTGTTGTTATTATTAGCCACACCATGACCAGCACAACAACAACCACAACAACAACAAATTACATTTCTAGACAGTCAAGGATTTGGACCCAAGCTGGGGGTTGGGATCAGGACCACCACCAGCCCTCAACTTCATTTCTATCCAGCTTGGGTCCACCAAGCTGCCGCTTCTCACCCCGTTAGCCCTTTACTCACACACACTACCCCCACTCCTCCCCTTCAAAACCAATGTCATTCTCAAAACACACTTGACCCCCTTCCACGTCTTCCACTATCACCCAGTGGGTTTGCGCTCCACATTGGGAGTTCATGTGAGCTCAGTCTAGGCTAATGCTCCACTGCAGTGCTGGGGGAAAACGGACTTGTTGGAAGTGCCATCCTTAGGATCAGACGGTTCCTTCTGAAATCCCTCCAGCTTACACTCTCCCTTTCCGTAAACATCTCCCTTCAGCCACCTCCCTCCCCTTAACCCCATCCCGGCTTGGGCTCCCGCTCAGTGTTTGTAAAGCATCTAAGAGGTTCTTGATGTTGAGCCAGAGAAGTGAAATTTATTCTTGTTGTCCTCCACTTCCCCCCCCATCCCCCCACACACCCTTACTCCCCCATACAGCCCCCACCACCACCACAACCCCTGAGGGCTTCGCTCCCTACGAACCCCCCAGTCACAGCCCCCCACTCAAAGCCCCCCCCACAGCCGACTCACCCCACAGCCGACTCCCCCCACAAGCCCCCATACCCTCACCCTCCCTAACAGCCCCCCCGGAGCTGCAATGTGTTGTGATAACGAGATCTAACCCTCTTGCTGTCTGTTGACTTGCCTGTGTTGCGAAGTCAATCAGCACCACTGGCTCCAGCTGTTTTCCCAGATCATTTCTCAAGTAATTGTTTAAATTTCCTTCAGAGAAAGGAGACATTCCATCACTGCGTTATCTGACGGTGGGACTGAGAGTGGGGCTGGAGTGGGTTGTGGGTGGGGCTGAGGTTGGGGGTGGGGCTGGAGGGGGTTGTGGGTGGGGCTGAGGTTGGGGGTGGGGCTGGAGTGGGTTGTGGGTGGGGCTGAGGTTGTGGGTGGGGCTGGAGGGGGTTGTGGGTGGGGCTGAGGTTGGGGGTGGGGCTGGAGTTGAGGTTGGGGGTGGAGTGGGGCTGAGGTTGGGGGTGGGGCTGAGGTTGGGGGTGGGGCTGAGGTTGAGGGTGGGGCTGGAGTGGGGGTGGGACTGAGGTTGGGGGTGGGGCTGGAGGGGGGTGGGGCTGAGGTTGGGGGTGGAGCTGAGGATGGGGGTGGGGCTGGAGTGGGGGTGGGACTGAGGTTGGGGGTGGGGCTGGAGGGGGGTGGGGCTGAGGTTGGGGCTGGAGTTGAGGTTGGGGGTGGAGTGGGTTGTGGGTGGGGCTGAGGTTGGGGCTGGAGTTGAGGTTGGGGGTGGAGTGGGTTGTGGGTGGGGCTGAGGTTGGGGGTGGGGCTGGAGTTGAGGTTGGGGGTGGAGTGGGGTGTGGGTGGGGCTGAGGTTGGGGGTGGGGCTGGAGTGGGGGTGGGACTGAGGTTGGGGGTGGGGCTGGAGGGGGGTGGGCTGAGGTTGGGGGTGGAGTGGGTTGTGGGTGGGGCTGAGGTTGGGGGTGGGGCTGGAGTTGAGGTTGGGGGTGGAGTGGGGTGTGGGTGGGGCTGAGGTTGGGGGTGGGGCTGGAGTGGGGGTGGGACTGAGGTTGGGGGTGGGGCTGGAGGGGGGTGGGGCTGAGGTTGGGGGTGGAGTGGGTTGTGGGTGGGGCTGAGGTTGGGGGTGGTGCTGAGGTTGGGGGTGGGGCTGAGTTTGTGGGTGGGGCTGGAGGGGGGTGGGGCTGAGGTTGGGGGTGGGGCTGAGGTTGGGGGTGGGGCTGGAGTGGGGGTGGGGCTGAGGTTGGGGGTGGGGCTGGGCTGGGTGTGATGGACGTTACCTTTCACCATGAACTCGCTGATGATGAGCATGGGCTCGGAAGTGATGACCATTCCCAGGAAGCTCACGAGCCGCTCGTGCTGCAGACCCCTCCTCACCTCAGCCTCTCTGCGGAAATCATCCTGCGAGCTGGTCTGCAGGTCCCTCACTCGCACAAACACCTTGCGCTGGACTTTGTTAATATCTACAGAGAACATGATTCACAGTGTAACTGGTGCCTGGAACAAGTGGCTGATGTATTTCGATGTGGAGTCCTGTAGTTCAGTGGTCAGAGAGCTCGCCTCACAAGCGAGAGAACCTGGGCTTGATTCCCGGACAGGGCGAAGCATTGGCAAGTTTCCTTACTCCACACACCCCTATGTAGCCGGCAGTAAGTAGGAACTGTTGTTAGTTGAATGGTGGATCACTTTTCTGGGGGTAATAATCCTTTCAAAAAATTAAGATAGAGTAAATAATAATAATTTGGTCACTCAATCCACGACTGTTTGTGGGACACTCACTGCTGTGCGCAATTGGCTGCCGTGTTTCGCCCACAAAATTTACAGTCATTTCACTTTACAGTGTATCCTGTGAAGCGCTTTGAGACATCTTGAAGCCGTGATAAGGCGCCATATCAAATGAAAGGATTATTATTATTAATGCGGTGACGTTTGCCACTTTATCCAGGGGCTAAGAGGACAGTGAGTCTGACCCCGATATTCAGAGCGATGCCAAAGATCCACAATGTTACTTGGAAGAAGAGTATGGCGTATCTCCTGCTCGATATCACCCAAACTCACCCGCCGGCAGGACCTGAACCAATCCTTGGATCATTCCTTACCCATCCAGGCTTCCCCCACACTCCCCGGTCCCAGCCTCAGAGCCTCCCTCGCAATCTCAGAGCCACCGGACTGTGAACGACATCTCCGCTGCCTTCTGATGGAGGAGCTGGACAGCCTCTGGCACAGACCATCTGTGTTCTCTAAACGGTTACATTCCAATCAAGCAGATCAGATCATAATTAGTCTTGTGTTTGATAAAGCTCCCTCTGTCACAATTCTACCCAGCACAGCGTCCCTGTGCACGCTTACACACTGACAGTCCTCCCTACCCCCGGCTCAGCCTCACTCACTGGGTGCCAGCGAGAGCCAGTAAATGCATTTGATCTGGAGGAATAGTGGAGGCTGGGGGGGCGGTAATGGAAAGAGTAATGGCTTTGCTCAGTTGCCCACCCCCCACACACACTGCCCCCCTCCCCCAAGGCTAGTCACTTTAATATACCCAGAAACTCGAGCTCACCGCGGTAATACTTAACCATCTCCTGTAAACTGATAAACTTGACGCGGGAGTTGCAGTAGTAACCACTGGGGCTGGTCTCTATCTTGTAATGAAGAACTCTATTTCCCAGCGTGGGATCCCAGTGCCGCACTGACAGGGTGTAGCTACCTGATCAACACACAAGGAAAACAAGCTCAGTTGAGGATTAGGCGACACAAGCAGAGCCCCGGGACCATAGTGGTTAGAGAGCACTCGCCTCGAAACCTCAGGCTAGTTTCCTTGCTCCATACACACAGACACACACACATGGTTCTGTTTACCAGCAGTACGTTGGAACCCGCTTCTTAGTCGATTGGCGGATCACTTTCTGGAAGGTAATAATAGCTTTTCTGGATCCCTTCAAAAATAAATAAATCCATGATCACTAAATCCATGACCGTTTGTGGGACACTGGTGTGTGCAATTGGCTGCCGCGTTTCATCCACAAAATATACAGTCAATTCACTTTACAGTGAAGCGCTTTGAGATGTCTCGAAGACGTGAAAAGGCGCTGCATCAAATCAACAATTATTATTATTATTATTAAACCAAGTCTCCCTGGCCGAGAAACAGTGCGTGTGTGTTTGCGGTCCAGAGAAACACTCGCCTGGTCTGGAGATACTCTCTCTGATCAGGAAAGTTCCAACGTTATACTCCGGCTCCAGGATCATCTCCTCTGCCTCTCGCCAATCAATGCCTGTGAAGAACCACCTGTGAGAAAGAGACCAGAGAGGAGCGAGTGACAGGAGAACTGTATATAGGATATTATATATAGAATTTGGTGTCTGAAGTCGAGCACAGGAACCTACCTCTCCTCCTCCAGTGGTTTGGTGTCTGAAATCGAGTCACTGGTGTCTTGGTTGGAAGCAAGAGGCGTGGCACAGTGTCCTTCAGATCTGAAACATGGAATAACAATAATAATAATAACAATCTTGCCAGCTTGAAACTACAAGACTGGCAAGGCTGCTGTGGCTAATCTGAACACCACCAGTACTGCCTGGCAGACAGAGGGTGGGCAGCGGCCTCTTGTGGCTGAGCCAAATGGGTTACAACTCAGAACCCGACCGGAACAAGGATTTCGGATTCCTGCTGGTGTCAGCCATTCTCACCCGGGCGGGACCTGGGCAAAGAGCAACGGGTAATCAGGATGTTCTGCTGAATTAATTCTCTGATAAACAGCAAGTGGTGCACCTTGAATCAACCAGAGATTATCTACCTGATGGTTCTCTCCTCCTGGGTCATGAAGAAATCACTGCGGAAAGCTACCCAGGCTGTCTGTCACTCTGGCTTCACGCTCTCTGTGAGATTTTCTATATTTATATCATAATTGTGAAGAATGAAGGTTTGGATTGGAATGGAGCCTCAATAATAATAATCCTCGCATTTGATATTGCGCCTCATCACGTCTTCGAGATGTCGCAAAGCGCTTCACAGAATATACTGTAAAGTGAATTGTCTATATATTTTGTGGGTGAAACGTGGCAGTCAGTCAATTGCGCACAGCAGTGTCCCACAAACAGTCATGGGTAGAGTGACCATATTATTCTTTTTTTAGAAAAGCTTTAAACACCCCCTCTAACTGAGCTCCCAGGCCTGTCCATTCTCTGGGGAAGCACATTTTGACAATAATTAACTAGAGAAAGTGACAGTATTTCTAGGCTGTGAGCATAGGAACCTACCTCTCCTCCAGTGGTTTGGTGTCTGAAGTTGAGTCACTGATGGTTTGATCAGAAGCAGGAGACTTGGCACATTGCCCTTCAGATCTGAAACATGGAAACCGGTCTTTATTCAGGGCAAGGAATTGTCCAAAAGCCGTCACACATTAAACACCGACAATCATGCTCGTAACAACTTTAACCAAAGCAAAACCAGCCAGAGTGAGCAAATGGTTCCAAACTGGTTGGGTCGCATATTTGAGAAGTGAAGCTTTCAGGACACTGTGCCATTCAGGTAGAATCCTGTAGCTCAGTGGTTAGAGCACTCGCCTCGCAAGTGAGAGGACCTGGATTCGATTCCCGGGCAGGGCGAAACGCTGGGCAAGTTTCCTTACTCCACTCACACGCCTCTGTTATTTATTTAGCAGTAAGTAGAAACACGGTTGTTAGTTGATTGGCGGATCCCTTTTCCGGGGGTAATAATCACTTAAAAAATGTTTTTTTTTTAAATTTGGTCACTCAATCCAGGACACTGTGTCACTCAGCCAGGTACAACAGGTGAGCCGGGGAAGGCATGATTGTGTAATAAAGACTAATACAGGCACCTACCCCTCGTCCTCCCCCACTGGTGCCATCTGTTCATTCTCCTCATCATCCAGGGTCTTCACATAGTTGCTGGGGATCAGACCTGCTGCTTCTGTTCTCAGAGAGCTGGCGTACCACCAGCCATCATTCCTGCAATCACACACACACTTTGTTTCTGAGGCCCTTAGCATCGTCAGGACCTTTCATCAGGATCTTTACTTCCATCGTGACATTTGCTCATAAGCCAGTGGTTACACCACCGTCTGAATTCATTTCTGGTTCTCATCAATGCACCAGATCAGAAGCTCAGGGTAGCCTGAGCTCAGTGCTGGGGCTTCAGTCTCTCGTGGTCACATCCACACCACCGATGTCATAGACATAGACAAACATGGTGTCTTGACCCAAGGGGAGGGGAGAAGATTGCAAGCAATGTGTAGAAAGGTCAAGAGCATTGGAACTCACACTTTGTTCAGCACCCTGATTATCTCTCCCTTCTCAAAAGCCAACTCATCCTCTTCACGTGTTTTGAAGTTGTACATTGCGATGGCAATCTTTACTGTGGTTCCTGCAGCAAACAGGGGTTTATCAGAGAGTAAACGTGGCTTGTAACACACTGAGCAAACAGCGAGGTCCACGGCGGCTACAATTCCTTAGTCACTAATCACCAAGTCCCCACAGTATCACACAGTTACCGTCGGCCAGGACATCCTCCACTTCACAACAACAACAGCTACAAACACATTTACACAGCGTCGTTCATAGACAAGAGACGCCCCATAGCACTTTGCAGATGGGATTCATTAGAAACAATGGGAATGTTGTTAATGGAGACAAATGTGGCAGCTAATACCAGCGACGTCTAGCACACAAGATGTGCAGCTGATGAATTTTTGGAGTGAATTTGTAGGGAATATAAATCAGCACCGCAGCTAAATAAACCTGCTGCTGGGGGCGGGGTGGGGGGGGAGAGGGAGGAGGTGTCCCTTCCTGCATGAAACACAGGCCAGACAGGAGCTAAGTTAGTGACTTTAACTGGAAATGATAATAATCTAGAAATAAGTAATAATAATAATAATCCTTGCATTTGATATAGCGCTTTTCACGTCGGGAGGACGTCCCAAAGCGCTTCACAGAATAGACTGTAAAGTGAATGGACTGTATATTTGTGGGCGAACGCGGCAGCCAATTGCGCACAGCAATGTCCCACAAACAGGCGTAGATTGAAAATGACCAATTTATTATTGTTTTGTTTTGGAGGGATTATTATTACTCTGTGTGGAGTAAGGACACTTGCCCAAGGTTTGGCCCTCTGCCTGGAATTGAACTCAGGTCTCTCACTTGCAAAGCGAGTGCTCTAACCACTGATCACTGACATGGAGACAAACAAGTGAAACCAGGAAGCAGTTTTTCCACCAAAAGGACAGTGGGAATCTGGAACTCTCTTCCCCAAAAGGTAGTGGATAATGGATCCATTCAGATTTTCAAGACTGAGGTGGATAGATATTTGTTAGGTCAGGGGATCAAGGGATATGGGGCAAAGGCGGAAAATTCAGGTTGAGGTACAGATCAGCCGTGATTTAATAGAATGGTGGAGCAGACTCGAGGGGCTGAATGGTCTACTCCTGTTCCTATGTTTCTATAAGGCAGCCAGTGAGCTCAAGTACCACAAACAACAAAAATGAGGAGGCATTTTAAAGTGAATTTCTGGGGGAATTGGGATTGGGGGAGATGTTCGACAGTAGGGTTTGTACAGAGGGTATTGTTGGGGGTACAGTGGGTGTGCAAGGGTCAGTGTGTGGTTGGGGGCACGGGTGTGTGAGGGTGAGTGTGTGGTTGGCAGCACAAAGGGCACCCAGAGAGGGCACCAAGCTGAACCCGTGTGTGGCACTTACCGCCTGTACAAGGAGATGATCCGCCTTCCGCCATCAGTGCACTTTCAGTTCACTAGAAAACAGAGAGTCAGAAATCAGGCTGGAGGCTGCTCTAGAGAGTTCATTTATTCAAACAGTTTGAGGTGTACCAACGCAGTCAGTATATCATACGGGATGGTTTGTTACCTCTTTACCTCGCTGCTACCCACACGACTCCGTTAGTGCCCACTCTCCATTGCTGAGCCATCAGCAGCCTATTGATATCTGTCCTCACCTGATCACCAGGTATAGGCATGGAGTGAGCGAACAATTTTATTTGGGGGATTTGAGGACCAGGACACCAGAAGTCAGAAACTCCCTTCTCTTTTCGAACAGAGCCACAAGATCTTTAACAGGCAGACAGGACCTCGGTTTAACATCTCATCTGATCTTTCAATTCTATTTCCCCCACTTTTTATCCACCCCCATAACCCTTTTCTTGTCCCTTTTAATTGTCTCATTCGATTCAACCTGCAAGGCTTCTGAGGCAGCCCACATAACGTTTCCTGCACTAAATTCCGTCCCCCCATCACCCCAGTCCTCACCACTGGCTTCCCATCCCCAAACAAATCAATTTCAAGTTCCTCACACTCATTTTCAAATCCCTCCATGCCCTGGCACATCACTCTCTCTCTGACCTGCTTACTCCCCACCCCACTACCCACTGCCTCCGCTCGACTGGCTCCAGCTTCCTGCTTGTCCCTCGTGCCCTCCGCTGCACTTTCAATCACTACAATCCAAATTCTGGAATATTCTCCATCTATCCCTCTTCCTTGCCCCTTCCTTCACCATCTTCAGATCGCTCCTGACAACCTCCCTCTTCGACCGTGCCCGAGCTCAGTGGTTAGAGCACTCGCTTTGCAAGTGAGAGACCTGAGTTTGATTCCCGGCAGAGGGCGAAACCTTGGGCAAGTTTCCTTACTCCACACAGAGCCTAATAATAATCCCTCCAAAACCAAAAACAATAATAAATTGGTCATTTTCAATCCACGACTGATTGTGGGACATTGCTGTGTGCAATTGGCTGCCGCGTTCGCCCACAAATATACAGTCAATTCACTTTACAGTATATTCTGTGAAGCGCTTTGGGACGTCTAGAAGACGTGAAAAGCGCTATATCAAATGCAAGGATTATTATTATTATGGTTACCTCCTCCGTCCCCCTGGCTCAGCGTTGTGCTCCGCCACTGTCAAACGGACTGGGGGGGTGGGGGCTACTTATATATGTTGCCACTGACTGCCCAGCAATGGAGATGCAGACAGTGGAATTGACCCTGGGAGGTGTAAATAAAACCAGCAGCTAATCAGCTAACTCACACTTCATCCTCAGCAAAATCCTTTCAGGAACCCAGACCTTTCACTTTCACATGTGAGGGAAGCCAAGATCCACCATCAAACTCACTGCCTTCAATCACCAGAACACAAACACCACAAGGATATTGTAAACTCACCAGCACCAACGTGTGTCCTGGGGTGAGGTCTTCCTGCTGCAGGCTCCGCACTGCCCTCGCTTCAGGCAGCCCAGCTCAGCACCTCCCTGTGTGACTGCAGCACAAACACACCCGCTCAGTAGAGAGTAAAGACAAGCGAATGGATCTTATCAGCGGCTAGAGAATACAAAGTACACCCTCACCTGAAGCTGGCGGAAGCTGGAAGAACAGGGCTGGGTTCAGACACTGCCTGATGGAGGAAGGCATTCCAGTTTTCTGTTGTACAAAAGTCCCCTGGTGACACAGTAGCAAACATTGCCTTGCACTGGCAGCACAAAGCTACAGACCAACTTGTGGCAGGTGTTGGAATTAGAAACATGTTATTGTGTAAAATATTATTTGGGTTCTGTTAGAATTGGTCCTCGTGGTGTTGGGGCTGAGGTAGTGAGAGGAGGGTAATTATCCACTGTCCTCACTCTGAGAATCAGCCACTTGACTGATTTGATCACTCTTGGTCAGTAACATGGTCACTCAATAATAAATAATAATAATTTGGTCACTCAATTCACAACTGTTTGTGGGACACTGCTGTGTGCAATTGGCTGCCGTGTTTCACCCGCAAAATAAGTCGCTACACTTTACAGCATATTCTATGAAGTGCTTTGAGACGTCTCAAAGACGTGACAAGGCGCTGTATCAAATACAAGGATTATAGTACTTTTAAGCAATCACATATTCCTGATTTCTGAGGAGTTCCGTCTCAGCCAGGCCAGCGGTTGTGGTTACCCCTGGCCGGGTCTCAGTGCCCAGGCTGCAGGTTGCCAGATGACAGCTGTAACGTTGAGTGTGATGTCCTGCGGTTGAGTGTTCCTCACTCCTGTCAGTGTGTTCTGTCCCCGAGGCCTCTCTATAATGACTGACTGTCTAACTGACTGACAGGCTCATTTCCTAATGCTCCCGTCCACATTGTAATCAGACACTGAGCATTAAGCAGGTTCAGATCACTGGTCTGGCTGCGGAGGCTGAGCTGGTAACATGAAGGTTTGGGTCTGGGGGCCACTTGGGAGTCAGTGGGACTGTCCCTCAAGGAGAAAGAGGTGCAGAGGCCAGACGGCAACCCCACTGCACTCAAAGGCTGAGAAGGTTTGTCAGACAGGCGCAAGAGGAGAGATTGAACCTGGCTTTAATAACAAATGGGTTTGAAAAACATAAATCACACGTTTAAAACATATGTGCCACACGGAACATAACTAACATGAAGATCCAAGCTGGTGAACCGCACAGCGAGGCTGAGAGCAGGTGAGGCTGAGGCTGTGTCACACTACACCAGTGTCCATCCCTCAGTGCCCACAGCTGCCCTGGCGGGCGGGGCCGATTTCAGCTGCGTGTCCGTCACCAGAAGCCCAATGGCAGGGTCAGTCAGCAGTCCCTCTGCTCGGTGACACCGCACACGAGCTCAGGCTGGAGCCAGGCTTGCATTGCCTGTTATCTCTCATGATTCCTGGCTGCTGTTTGAGGAGCAGCTGCTGCTGCAGCAGCCGTGTTGGTTGCACTTTTGCAGCAGGTTTATTCAGCTACAGTTCAGGCTCAGTGTGAATCGCAGTGCTGCGGAGTGTTGTTAGGGGTCCGCGGAGGGGCAGGTGGGGTCTATACCCGTCGGCGTTTGGCCCCGCTCGGGCTGGACGGGTTGCTGTTTGCACTGAGCAGGTTGGCTGTGGCTCGGTTCCTCTTCCGCTTGTCAATCACTTCTTTGGCCCCAGGTTCCCCACAGCCAGGCCCTTTCTCTTTGGCCACCGACTTCTCCAATGGTTTTGTATTACCTGCAGAGGCAGAAAGCTTAAAGAGATCAGAGTCTCCAGACACACAGAAAGCTGTGGGCTGCTCTAGGGCATATTATCACTTAAACCAGGGTTCAAGCTCCGCTTAAGAATGGGATGAAAATCTCCTCTTAATTAGTGCAATGAGACAGCCTCCAGCTAGTCAGTGAGCACTGGGGCCGCCCACAACTCAGTGTGAGACAGGAACCTCACTCGGGAGGCCACCAAAATGAGAAAGGTCTCCCTAGTGTGTGTGGGTGTGCTCTGTGCTTGGGGCTGAGCAGAGGCGGGTTTACCCAACCTGTACTGTGTGTAGCTGTTCCACTCTGCGCACTGACACGATCACAGGAGCCTGCGGTTACACCACACTCCACAAACAATAAGAAAAGTGCATGGAATCAGACCCACAAACAGTGCCCAAGGACCCGGCTCAACACAACACAAGAATTTGATAGAATCACCCAAGGTTACAGCAAAGAAACCGGTCCCTCAGGCCATCATTACACTGAGGGCATTCTCCACATGAGCAATAATCGCAGCTCATTCTACTCGATCCAAACCTTTGATATTCCTGTCTTTCAAGCAGCTATCTAACATTTCCAGTCACGGACAGCGCATAGCCTGATACGTACCCTCCTCCAGGGAAGGCTGTTCAGACATCTCTTCTTTCTGTTCTTCCTTCGGTTCCTCTTCGGCTCCTGCTTTCCCTGTGACAGGAAAAGTGTTACACATCGGAGCCTGACAGTGAGCAGGACAGGACTATCAGCTAGTGAAACCTCCACATCTGTTTGCCACAGCACAGCTGGTTTGGGTGCAACCAGAGTCACACTAGTGTGGAGGCAGTTAACCAGACTGACTCTGGTACCAATGCTATCTGAATCCTCAAAACTCGCCAATGCGCTCAATAGTGGATCACAGAGTAAAGAAGGTTTATGGGCAGGTGGTGGCTGTTTGGCCCAATGTGGCTGTTCTGGTGCTCACTCCTGACCCCAGTTTATAGAATCATAGAATTATGCAGCACAGAAGGAGGCCATTCAGACCATCGTATCTGTGCCGGGCTCTTTGTACAGAGCTTCCAAATCAATCCCACTCCTCCGCTCTCTCCCCATAGCCCTGCAAACTTGTCCTCCCCAAGTAATTACCTTTGCATTTCTCCACATTAAATTTCACCTGCCACGTGTCTGCCCATTTTACCAGTCTGTCCGTGTCCCTTTGCAGTCTGCTACTATCCACCACACTGTTTACCACTTTCTCTTTGTAATAGCTCTCTTTGTAATAATCCTTACAATTGATCCAGAGCATACCATGCTGAAACAACTCCAAGAGAATTACTGTCAAGTGCAGCAACTGGATATTCGGAAGAAAACGTGGCAGCCAATTTGCACACAGCAATGTCCTTCAAACAGCCGTTACGTGAATGATGATTTTAACTGGAGGTGTAATGGTCAGTTCACTGGAGACACTCAGGTTTGAAAACCTTTATTACATCCCATCCCAACCTCCAGCAAAAACAGCCTCATTCCTCTGGTCCCAAGATCATCCCAGTGAGTCTCTATTCCGTACACCCTCACTCGCCTGTCTCCCACCCCCCACTCGCCTGTCTCACCCCCCCACTCGCCTGTCTCACCCTCCCCCACTCGCCTGTCTCACCCCCCCCGACTCGCCTGTCTCACCCCCCCCACTCGCCTGTCTCCCCCCCACTCGCCTGTCTCCGCCCCCCACTCGCCTGTCTCCCCCCCCCACTCGCCTGTCTCCCCCCCTCCCACACTCGCCTGTCTCCCCCCCTCCCACACTCGCCTGTCTTCCCCTCTCCCACACTCGCCTGTCTCCCCCCCATTCACTTGCCCCCCCACTCGCCTGTCTCACCCCCCACTCGTCTGTCTCCCCCCCCCCCCCCGCTCACCTGTCTCCCTCCCCCACCGCTCGCCTGTCTCCCCCCTCCCCACTCGCCTGTCTCCCCCTCACTGATTTCCCACACACACCACAGTGCTGGCAGGATGACATTGCTAACACTCAGAAAACTTCACAGGGGGAACGTACCATCAGGAAGGACATGTCCCACAGTAGTTACAGTCTCCTTACCTTCCTTCACCTCGTGGATGATGTCCTCGGGAAGAACAAAATTGCGCTCACCATTCGGGAAGGGCAGAATCTCAGACTCATGCTGGGGACAGACACAGAGCAGAGGGACATCCAGCATAAAATAACCTCTACAACAAGAACAACAAATTACATTTGTATAGCGCCTTTCATGTTGGAAGGACGTCCCAAGGCGCTGGACAGTCAGGGATCCACTGTGGAGGGCTTTGAAGGTGAGGACCAGGATCTTGAACTGTATCCTCTGTGTGATGCGAAGCCAGTGGAGTCGGGCGAGGATGGAGGTGATAGGGTCACGGAGGCTGTTGCGGGAAAGGACACGGTCTGCAGAGTTCTGGATGATCTGCAGCCTATGGAAGGAGGAGTTGGGGAGGCCGACAAGCAGAGAGTTTGTGTAATCGAGCCTGGATGTAAAGCCTGTGTGTGGATGAGGGTCTCGGCGGCCTGCGATGAGAGACAGTGGCAGAGCCGGGCAATGTTGCGAAGATGGGGAAAGATGGAGCAGGTCATGGCACGGATGTGGGGGGTGAAGGACAGTTGAGGGTCGAACAGGTCGCCGAGGTTCCGTATTGGTTTTTGTGAGGTGTAGAGGGCATCCATCCATCAAGGGAGATGCCATCTATACAAAACACAGGCATTCACACTCCTACATTGTTGCATAAATTCCGACTATACCCCTTGCTCTGGAGTCCACAACGAGAAGGAAGGGTTGTCCCCTAACTAACTTGTCAATTCCCTTTTATTGTTTGCCACACATCAAGAAGATCACTATTTATCTCTTCCACTCTGAGGAACATAAACCAAGTTTAATCTGGTCTCTCGCCGTACCTAAACCATGACTTCCAGAGAATCACTTGTCACTGCATTTACTCCAAGGCTAGTATCTCCTTCCACAGACGGTCCCCACAACTGAATCCAGTACTTCAAATGGGATGTGTCATTAGAAAACGTGAAGAAGTCCTCTCTATTCCCACATCCAAATTATATATATATAGGGCCCCAGTACTGATCCCTGCGGATCACAGGTCACAAAGAACACTCCTTAGTAATTAACATAATGGGCTGAATAACCTTCTTCTGTGCTGTTAGTTTCTAATTGAACCAACTCAATTTATCTACCTGTCCCCCACAAGACATGCTGAAAGGCTGGTGCATCAGCGACTCACCAGCGCTTGCATGTCATACATGACGTTCAGGTGTTCCCACACTATTTTGGAGGAGACCTGGCGGCCGATGTTTTGACTGAATTTGTCTCGGATGCAG